AAACTATTAAAATTGTACATTACTTAAATTTCATAGAAATTTCTAATATACTTTTTAAATTTTGATTCTTTAAAAGAAATATTACATGAAGTAAATAAAAACAGTTTAACTATATGCTATATTCATATTTAATTTTATTCCAAGGTCATTATAAAAGATGTAAATTAAGTCATAAATAAAAAGTAATATATATTATCAGATGTAAATTTTTATTTTAAATGCATGCTTGTTTTTAGTCATAATTTTCTAGTGAGAGAAAGGTTTATGCTTTACAACAAAATTTGCAATAGTATAATTCCAGGTGCCATTCAAAAAACAACTTTTTTTACATTATGAAAAACTTATTTTTAATTACTTTTATTTAATAAATATTAAAAATAAATTGTAATTTTTTAATTTGAAGTTATATCAATATTATTATTTTTAAAAATATTTTGGATAATTTGTGTTGCATCTGTTAGTTGTATTCCTATAATGAATTAATAATTCTTCTCCATCATTAACTTTGCATATATCTTAATCTTACTTAGTACTTTGTGCAAGATGCTACTCATATTTAAATCTATGACATGCAATCTCTTTAATTTGTGATCAATAACATTTGACAATGTTACCATACACTTCAACTCCACATCTTCACATGATATCTGTAAAATCAATAATAGTTTGTAAATATTATATATATATACACACACACATATATTCACATAAACATTGCATATTTACATACCAAGTCTCAAAACTCTTTAATATACATGCAATAATCCTATCCATTTATTATAGACAAAAATTAACAAATTGAATGCATTTCTATTTATGAATAAAAAATCAATGATATTTATTTGATTATTGAACAGATAATTGCACTGTAATCAGACCAAATAATGGACCCTATCTCATCAATTAATGTATATACATTATTTTCAAATATTGGTTCTAAACTTCATTCACATGAAACTTCTCTCTGGATTTGTTAGTGAGCTTTTCTACTGCCTAACTAATTGGTTTTTTTGCTATGAAAAAGCAAGGGATTTGACATGAAGGGGTGCACTGACAAAAATAATTACAAGTAGGTAAACAAATAGAAAATAATTACAAGTAAGAGCACAAATTAAAAAAAATAAATTACAAAGAATTCTCTTCATCCTCTTTAATGAAGTGCTTTTAGGTAATATACTTATTATTTCTTCTATTTGTCTTTGGATATATAGCTCGTGAATGTCAAAGATTATTAAGTATCAAGATCTTGCTTAACATGAAGAGCTCCATTATGCTCAATATTATTGATTATAGATATAAGAATTGTGGCTATTTTGCCGCATTTTGAGCATCTAGTTTGATTTTTTGATCTATCTCACCACAATTGCGGAAACAATTTTTTTGTTGTTATCAAGACTTTTTTTAGTTTAGATGGAGGCAATGTGACATCATCAGCTACTACTATTACCGCTGTCATATTACATGTTGTCTTGTTTGGAAATACACTAGGTACTTTGTTGTGGAAGGTAAAGTTGTGTTTTACAAGTATCTAAGAATTCTAATAGATTTCATCTATATAAGAAGAATATAATTCGAATTTCAATTCAAAAGTGCTTAAAGCTAATACAAAGTTTTCAAAAATACTCTTTTTAGTCACCTTAATTATATACAAACTCCAATTGCCTTATTACTTTCATAATTAGATAATTTCAAATTTTCTATGCAATCCCTAATTCTACTTAGTGAGCTTCAACAAGTTGTAATTTTTAATTTGGCTATCCACTTAGTACAAAATTTTGCATATAAATGCCACTATAAGTCTTCTACACATTTAGAAAAATTTAGTCCAATTCAACTTACAAATTGTAAGAAAACATCCAAAAGACTACACTAATGTCACTCTACCTCAAACTTGAAAGTTAATGTAGATGTTCGAGTAGAAATTTCTCCTTTACCAACCATTTACTTTAGCTCAAAATTGGTATGTGACTTGATCTTTAAATCTTCTAAGACCATGTCAATTTTCTTTTTTTCTTTTTTTCTTTTTTTCTTTTTTTTATTAATAGATCTTTAAATATCATAGAAATCCTACTCAATTCCATACTACCAATTTTTGATACCTTCTTACACTAAGAACTAGATATCTCTCAACTACACTATTAGATTAACATATAATTTTATGCACAATTAGCACATCCAATCAACCAAATATTGTCAAATTTTGAATTATAGATGTTATACCAATTATATAAACTAGCCAAGAGTGCTAGCCTTAATTGTATTTCATAATTCCAAAGTCACCAAAACAAATCTTGACTTTGAATAATGATTGCAAAGTCATCTCAAACCCTATGAAAACAAGCCTTATGCCTTTAAAACAAGCTTAAAGCTACCTCTTCAATCCCAGCCATTGATCTCCAAATGTTCCTATATTTTGTCCTAGGCGGCCATTTTAGTGTCTAGAGGTCTGATTTTAACCTTGTGCCACAAAAGATCAATCTGCACATATTATTCTAACCTATCTTAGGAATTTTTAAGTCCAACGCTACCCTCAACTTAACCTTACTGTCAACCATATTGATTATTTACCTCTTCTACTATATTTTTGTCAATTTATGGTCTTTTGGAGATATTAAAAGAATTTCTACAGCTCAGAAGGTAAAATTACTAATCAACCTTTAATCTATTAGCTATTAAGATAAGAAAATAAACCAAGAGGCTTTTATAAAAGCCATGTTTGAATGACTTCAATTACTATTGAATCAAGATGATTAAATATTAATTAGAAATTTATTTTTGATTATATTTTTATCATATACCTATGTTACAACATGACATTGCATTGATGGAAGTAACAACATCAACATAGATCTTGTGCAACTCACTTGGGTATACAAAATATATGTGTATAGCTTTGGATTTTGGTGTAATTTTAGTGTACATGCAAAAGAATGAACTAGGATTGTTAGAAATTGCCACAAGAATAGCTACTATTCCTAATATTGACTATGCAAAATAAAACTATTTTGGTTGTTCACTTCAAACAAAGCATCATCTATCTAAACGACTTGATAAATTTATGCATATATCATGCACTTCTATATATTTGAGGTAATTTTAGAAAGAATACATATTGACATAGCTGCATATTTGATTTGTCAATCAAAGAAAAAGCCTTTGATTTTTTAAACAATAAAAAGAATGGAATTAAAAGGTTCTATGACATGTGCACCAAGGATCCTAGAATGTGTTGCCTACAATATATTTAAAATAAGGATTCCAAAGAACAGAGACCTAGTATGATTAAGTGACATCATTTTTTTTCAATTACAACATTCTAAAAAGCAACAAGTAGAAGATGACTTTTTCCATCTACTCCGGTGAGACTAAAGTGGACACCTTAATATCTTAAGTTTGAATAGATTGCATGTGCACTAAATACAAGGCAATAACTTATAGTTGTAGTCTTTTAAGCCTAAAGGTACAAAAAAATACTCTTATAAGTTGTTACCAATTGTCCTTGTCAAATGTCCTCATGCTACTAGGATTTATTGTGGTCAGTTTCTTAAGTAGTATTAGAAGCTTTTGAAATTCCCAACTGTAATCTTCTACCAAATGCTTTTGGTACAACTCATGGCTCCTCTATGAAGCCATGTATGTTACTTTTGCCTTAAGCTTTATCAATGCACAATTTGTGATATTGCATGGTTGTAGGCCTTATATGCCTCATGTAAGAGATTCATTGAAATTTGCAAGTTATTTATTTTTGAGACAAAAGAGTTTCAAAAAAATTAGACATGCTTGCAAATGATTAATAAATCTATCAATATGAAGCAATTCATCTTTTTACCAATTGATTATAATATAAAAAAGATACCTAATATTTATAGTCTTGTCTTATAATTCATTCTCTTTCTTGGAGGAAACAATTCTAATGAGTATAGGTTTGATCACTTTAAATTAGAAAGGAGTAGAAACGAAGATAGAATAACTTGTAATAGCACTATGAGCATCATTGGCTATGAAGAACACTATTTTAATAGTCAATTTCTCTCAAATTTTCATTGATTGATCTCCAAATAGTGACCTTTGGCTTGCTATACTACACAAAGAAAAATGAGGCAAATTAAAATAAAAAAAAAAAAAAAAAAAAAAAAAAATGACCACAGAAACAGAAGCAAGATAAATCAAGGAGGAAAACTATGTTCAAGGAGGAAGAGGAGAAGTAAGCCTCTCTTTGAAGGGAAAAAGAAGAAAAGAAGAAGATTTGTGCCCTTCTTTGTAATTGTCGGTGTGGATGCACCTCTCTTTGTTATCATTTTGATTTGTGCCCCTTATTTGTAATTATAATTGATATGTGCCCCTTATTTGTGTGTAGGTGCCTCTTTGTAATTCTAATTTATTTATGCACCTAATTGTGATTATTTCTGAGGGATCCCACAATATAAGTTCTTCCAAAAAACATGTGCATTGTTCAGTGTCAGTTCTGAATTATAGAAAAGAATAGAGAAATGAAAATCAAACAGTGAAGATCGCATGAAGTGCACTTCATCAGCTCTTCACTCTGCTAATCAGTGGACACTGCTCTGAATTTTGCTGGAGAAGATTTGTTTAAAGAAATCAACGGTGAATGGTATGTGTATTTAGCTATTTCACCTTGGAAGTGAAGTGGGTATGAGTCAAACTCAGTTGTCATGACTGATGTAGGATACATGGAACCATTTTTAGTTGGTCGAGAAATTGGTACAGTTTTCAAAGTAGAATTTCGCAGGTGATATTGGATATTTCCTGAATCATACTACTATTTACTAGTATGAATGTACGATGTAATACAGATGACATAGTCTGAAAAGAACTTCTGTTCCAAAAGAAAGATCTTATGTAGCTTAAAAGGCGAACACATAAGTGATTGAGAATAATGATCAAAGAGGACAGAATGTTTCGTGAGGCACAAAGGCATCCGTTAGCAACTGCCGAATGAGAGCAATAATGGGCATGCAGAGGTTAGAGTGCACAGATCATGACAAGTGCGATTCATGCATTCCAACAGCAACCCATATGATAATACCCTGGGCGACAAAATTTACATCAACGAGAACATTTAGTTGTCGATGTAGCGCTGGATTTGTTCCGTCCTCATGAAGACGCAGACTTGGCAGTTACATATTCTTTTCCAATGAGTTAATGGAAACCCACAGTCGACAAGTGAGAAACATTGACGAGACATCTATTCTTTTTCGGCTGAGTGAGAGACCCATGAACTACTAGCTCGTCGAGTAAACCAGAAGTTTTCTAATGCGAATGAATATCTTGTCACGGATATCCTGTAAGTCATATGTTTCCAAGCCAATACTGTTGCAGACCTTCAGCTATTACACTCTCTTGCCCAGCAAAGAGAAGCACCAAACTTCTGAATAATGGTCCTCGGGAGGGGCTTGCACCTCCGAACCTCACCCTTTTCAGAACAGTCGCACACTGCTTAGAGTCATTGTCATTGTCTTTTCCTGACAATGAGTGTAAGCAACATGATCTAACCTTGAAGCTCTTGACCAACTCTGTCCGAGATATGGTCGGTGATTGGAGGAGTAGAACTTGAGCAGTCGGATGGAGATACGATAGTAACCTTCCCTTCCGACTTTTCTTGCTCCAACATTGCTTAGAGTCATTGTCATTGTCTTTTTCCTGACAATGATTATAAGCAAAGCTTGTGTACAGCCTTCGCAGGTCGTCGCTCCTAGCGGATACCGCCGTGCTCTGACGGCACGCGAACTCCGCAGCTTGGGCACGCTGGTGATGACAAACAGAGCATCACAAACGCTGAGCAGCTATGACATCCAGACACTACCATGACTGTATGCTGACTTTTCCTCTCTTTTCTGCGGACATTGGTAGCATTCACTTCCTTACTGCTGCTCCTGCACATTAACCCACTGTTGCCAAGCTCCCTGTCTGCAGACATTTTGAGTGCAACAGAGCACACTTCACTGGTTCGTTCGCACACATCAGGTGGGCAACTTCCAGCTTCACTACTCACAATATTCTCGCCAGTCTCATCATTTTGCGATCTGCTCGTCATTGTCTGATCAATAGAAGTTTCTCCGCGAAGATGCGCCCCCCGCATGTGTTCTACAACATTTTTGTTGGCTTGAAGAATGAACTCCCTAGGATCCTGTTTGGTTCGCTTGCAAGAGCTCCAATTGAAATAGTAGAATTGACCCGTCTGTTACAACAAGTTTCTTTTAGACATCCTCGGAAAAGGGGGGGGTGCATATGGCATCTATTGTAACCCAAGTTTGATCGTCATGCATTCACCAGCAAATAAAAGCGAATTGCGGCGACACTGGAGTAATCTTGCACAATATCGTTAACAGAGCTCTGGAATATAAACAATCAAAGTGAAAACGATTCAACAAATTGGTTACCTTCAGGTCCAAAAACTGCTCCCAGTCCTCTGGTAAGGCAGACCGCTGCCTTAAAGACACTTCCAAACCAAAGGTATCATCGTTCTGCGCAGTCTCAATTGCCTTCTGCATCTCGGAACTATCCGGACTGCGTTGAGGTGACGCGAGTTCACTAGCTTCAACGGACTGTGACCGAATCGCTTCCATCTGCCGACGTATTACCTCCAGGGCATCCTTAGGCCATGCAAGACGAACAGGTCTAACGCTGGCTGGCGAACACTGAATTGGAGTGCCTGGCGAAGGTGGACTAACATCCCCCGCCTTGTAGGCAGTATCTGGAACTATAACAGTTGGAGAAGCGTGAGTTCGCAGTTCTAGAGTTGAACAAGTCCTAGGGGCAGCGAGTCCGGCTCTCCCCATCTTGAGTCTTCTTGGTTCCGCGAATGAAAAATTTCCACCAGCGTTTCTCCTCGAACTCTCCAGTGCAGATTTCTAATTCACCTCATGTCATCCGTGTCTGTGCTATGGCGTAGTTGGCAACAATTTTTTCTACTGCTCGGTTAAGCCCAGGCAATGGTAGACTCGCAGATAATTGCATGTACAGGCGGGAACACAGAACTAGTAGCCAACATCGGCCTGGGCGAAGATTAACTTCGCGTAGGATCAAATTTGATGATAGCCGGCATCAAGAGGCTTCACATAGCTAAGACGCATGCATTCAATTTCCACACTAATCCAAAGTTCGGTGGTAGGACAATGATCTTCGCGAGTGAAGCTTCTTGTTGAAAACTTCACACCTGATTGATACTAATCGAAGCAGAGACAACGCAGTGCAAAGTAGGGCCGACAAGAGATAACTAGTCCAACATTTAGCAATATCACAGCAGCTTTAAATACTACAGCCGCTAGAAGACTTGCACATACCCATGTCGCAATCACCCGCCCACAGAACTTTTGCACTTACCTACCTCTCCCTTTCTCTAGCTGGACACGCCCATACATCATCACACTCTCTCACACTCCCCCACTCATCCACACCACACCTGCCCAACCACTACTGCACATCAAGACCACGCCTCCACCAATGACATGCAGGAAACCTTAACCAAAAGGTTGACGACATAAGAGAGAACAAGAAAGAAAGCTACCAGCTAGGTAACGATAACTCACCGATCTCACACACCCGAGAGGCGCAGAGCAAACACGAACAAGACAAAGAAAAATTGGAATACAAGGAATAGGGACATCAGAAAGTCACGAATGCAGAAATGATAAACGAAAGTCGGAGAAGAAGAAGAAGGGGGGGGGGATAGAATGAGGACAATAGAGCTCAGCGGCGAACGGCAATCAAACAAAGAGAAAGAGAGGCCAAACATGCGCGGGTACAGTACAGTCAGCTGAAGAGAAGGGAGTGGGGGAGGAAAGAAGGGAAGCGCCGGAAGTGAGAGCGTTCAAAAGGGGGGACGGGGGCTGACTGGGCTGGGCTGAGGGGGTGTTGGCTGGCTGGCTGGCTGGCTGTGTCTGTGTCTGAATGATGGGAGTGATCGCCACGGAGCGCTATGAGTAGCCGCAGCGTGTGGTGGTACAAGTCCTAGCAGAGCTGCTGCAGCCTTGGGAAGTAAAGTTGTATTGTAACGTGGAATTAACACTTGCATGCCCGGCGGGGAGGAGGGAGGGAGGCAACTGTGCTCCTGCTTGTGGAGAAAGGAAGGAAGGAAGGAAGAAAGAAAGTGGTGGTGCTGCAGCAAAAGTAAAGCTTCATCCTCAGGGGAGGCTCTCTCTGCAGGTCGGGGCACTCGTCGTCCATCGAGAGAGAGAGAGAGAGGGGGGGGGGCGAGCTGAGGTGGCAGCGAGCATAGAATACCGTCTGGCGCAGCAATGAGCCCCACCCGCCCCCGCCCTTCCTATCCCCCCCCCACGGGTAACTTTCAAATTTGAAATGTTCCCCATTGTCAAGCCCAGGTGTGAAACGGGTTTCATGTTTCGTGCCTGCTCTGCATGCTCGGCTCTCAAGTCCCTCTGTTGTCACATTTATCACATTACAAACCAAAGAAATTTGTTGTATTGTGATTTTCTGAAATTTGACCCTCATACTCTGATAAAATATATATGTATATATATATATATATATATATATAAAGGGTTAAAAGCGACTTAATAATTTTTATGATATTTAATAACTCATGTTGAGCATTTAATTCATGTACATTGCTTTTCGAATGAATGCACATGATTTTCTTTTTCTTTTCTTTTTTTCCTTCTTTTTTATTTTTTTTATTTTTTCACTCAACCATGATTTTGTTTTGTGTGATTGCATCTTGTTTGAATTAGCTGCTAACTGTGTGTGTATGTGGCCCATTGCATTATACACTTTCAACTTATGCAATAAGAGTAATATTGAGTAAAACAAAACAAAATAAAATTATACTGTGTTCAAAAGAACATGTTTTTTAAAAAATTATCCGGTGAAACTATTCTTCAAAAAATTGGTTTCATTGAAATTAATAAATTTTAAATCTTTTACAATGTAAAATGCACTCTTAAAGCTTTGATGCAATAACAACAAGAACTCATATGCACATGAATAGTTTTGTGCATTATACAATATTTGAATGTTATGGGTTTGAAATAATATGTTAAACAAACTTATTTGGATTATTTGCAACTAAAATCCTTAAATAGTACAAATAGTTTAGTTTAGTTTGTTATTATTGTATGGTTGGACTTTACATTTCAATTAACTGGATATAAAAAAGGTTAAAATTTACTAAAAAGATTACAAAAGTTTAAAAAATACTATTGTGCTAATAGGGTTATGATAAATCAATCCATAAATTTTTCAATTTTATATTGAATTGCAGCCATATTATATGATAAGAAGAATAAAAAGATGGTTAATTACACAAATTTGAGTTTTTAGGAATATATCTGTCTACATAGGCAATGTATCTGCATGTCAAATAAGAATGTGTTGATTCTTGGTTAGTGTACTTGTGTGTGTATTCGAACCATTTTTAGAAAAAAATTAAATTGAATCAATTTTCACAAGATCAAAATCCAATTATAAACGTTCAGACCTGGTGAAGCTTTACACAGTCTAATTTTGTACAGAATGGCAGAAATATTATGATACATTTTGTAAGATGTTTCTCTTGTAGTTTTGGGCAATAAGGCCATGTAAAATGCATCACAACTTTGTAGATTTTAAGATTTAATCACAAGCTCCACACACATTCATACTCATTGTAAAACAGAAAGAAAAAAAACAAACAATCAAATAACAAATCAAAAGTAAACAAATAAAATACTACCTGTATATCAATCCATTGGTATGTTTCACAGCATTGTCATTGCCAGATCATTATTATACGACAACATAACAGACATCACTTTGTTTACACATGAAGACTAAGCAAACACTTCCTCTGTCACAACAATGCATTGTTAGAACTTATCCATATTTTTGATACTGTTGTTCAGTTGCTATTCAATAATATCTACTGTGACAATTTTAGTCCAAATTTTGTTAGAATATTTAAAAATAGGTTTAAGTATACATGCAAACAAAGAAACATGGCAACCTTGTGTTTGAAAGTTTATGAATATTTCAGTATTGCATGTGCACAGACAATGTAAATCATCAGTTTCAAATTGTGTGCCTCTACTTTATTTTATTCTTAATTTTCATTTTTTTGGTGGGTTTGTGGACTTATGGTGTGCTGCCCACAGTGTGTCAAAGAGAGAGAGAGAGAGAGAGAGAGAGCAAGTTAGTTCTCACACTCTCCCAGTTTTGAACTTGGTGGGCATAATGTTGAAGCCTTCTTAACAGGATCTAAGAATAGACAAGTCTGCTGACTGCAAGGTTAATTTGTTTCCATCACATTGGGCAGAGATAACTGGTGACTTCTTCTGTGCTGCAGCAGGCCCACAGCAAAATAACTAAAGATCCATACAATACAAAACAACCCATCTGCATATGGGGTGGGGTAATGGTGGCAGAAGAAGAACCAAGGCTCCCTTTCTCACTGGTATTGCAGGTCTGTGCCTTTCCTCAACCCCCCCCCCCCCCATTCCAAGCGCCACACTAAATCATGGTCTCTGGCTTGCTGAAGGGATCTTAGACTTATCTCCATGAATAAATGACAGCACTAATGCCCCACAAGCTTCATCAAGCCCCTCTTGTGCCCCACTTGCAGAGCAAATTAATACACCCTACAATGCTCTCAGGTTCACATTCTACAATCTTCATCCACATCATTCAATGGATGAAGAACTTATGGTGACCGTTACTCTATCCATCCATTTCAACCAGTCCTTTTTGACCAGGTTTGTATGGAGTCCCCAGATGTGGACTTGCCAGTACTTAAAAAATTACTTACCCTGTGTGTTTTACTACTTGTACCCTTTCTCCCTCTATAGCTCTCACTTGCTTGCTCCTCTAGCTCTTGAGCCATGAGTGGATGAATGAAACATGTACCGTAGATATTTGACTTCAATATCATATCAACACGTGGCTCCTACCACCACCACCTGCCCCCTTTTACTAGACTATCACAACAAACCATGATTAGTGTGACTATGGACCCCATGTCTCTGTACTTATCACTCATTTGGGTAACCCCTAGTTTAGGGTTGTCTAATCATGGATGAGAGTAATAGGTCGACATCTATTCATTGTTTGATGGATGGAAGTGATAATATGTTGGAGTTTCACATTGTAAGTAAATGGATTGGTCCCTCAAAATCACTTTTCCTTTTTTTCTCTTTTCGTTTCTTCCACTTTTCTTAATTGGATGTGACGTTTTACTAGAGAATTTTTCGCCATGTTATTTTGCTGTTTCTTCAAAAGTATGGAATTGACTCAAAGCTCTCTTGATAAAAACCAAACAGAATCCAGCTTCTTCATATGGGTAAGGCCAAGAACAATGAGTGAGAAACATTGAAAGCTTGGTCATGATTTATATATATATATATATATATATATGAAATCAATCAACCTAACAAATTATTTGACCTAGCAAGCAGCTGATGTTGTCTTGATGAAGGGAATGATCACATGTACACTAGGTCCTCATTCATTTGTAAAAACTAATTACAGGTGTTTGTATAGATACGTATAAATACACATACAAATACATACATATGTATGTAGTTGTGTGTGTATAATAAAATCAAAGAACAACTTTACATCACATCAAGCCCCACCCTCTCAAAGGAAGTTGGGTCTGCCCCAACTATGTAGAACCAGGCACTGCATCTCCAGGTGTGCGGTCATAAAAGCTAGCTCTCACTTTAAAGCTGGAAGTGAGAATACAATTGTGCCAAGTGTGGTAAAGATACAAATCTTGGATCATCAGTTCCTCCTGAGCTCTCTGCAGCAGTCAACAAGCTTCATAAACCCCACACTTGGTACCAGTCCAAGCTGATAAGAAAAAACAGAGGTGCTAACCCTAAAAGGAAAGGTATAGACAAAAGTAAGATGTGATTGCAAAAGGAACAAAAAACTTTAGAACTTCATGACTTCCAATGCTGCTGTAGCTGGTGGATAGCAGAACAGAGCAGGCAGGCAGTCTTAATTTGTTGTGTGTGTGTGGAGTCTGTTTTTTTCTTTATCTTTATCTTCTTATTTTTTTAACCTTGTTTTCGATTCCTCTCCAGTCTCTCCTTGCAAAAGAGTATCCACTCTCGATTTCTTATGTAGACAACTGTTTGGATCCTTGTATTGAAGTACTGGAGGGACACTTCTGTACAGAGTCATTCCTCTTGGCACCCTCTTCACACTTCACTGCAGGGGTGGATGATAACACGAAAATGGATGGATGTTAACATGAAAATGAATGGATGAATGATTCTCTAAGGCTCCCTTCTTGGTGAGGATTCTACTGAACACAAAATCTTTCATTCCAATTTATCCACGTCACCATCTGCCATGTCAGCCCTGTTCCCTTAACTCCCTACAATGTGTCATATCGTTTTTTTCTCTTTTTCTTTTGCATTATTTTTCATTTTGATTGGTGTATTTATTTGTTTTTTTCTTTTTCTTTTCCCCTCTCCTTCTTTATTACCCCTGCACCCACATGCCCCATCATCAAATTCACAACCCCATGAAGCCTCTTGACCCATTGATGAGTGCTTGAATGGGGGGCAGTAAAGGGCAGCATTGCCAATGAACACAGAGTGTTATAGAGGCTCTGATACAGGCACTCAAATCCCTTAATAGTGAAAAATGGTAGCAATATAAGTGAGTGTTGAAGATGGCAAAAATGGGGCAAATGTTCTCCTCCATTCTACATGGTTGCTTTAGAACCAAAATTGTCAATAATGGACCCCTTGAGAAGATTGAATGTAGCCCACCCTAGAAAGATAAAAGCTGGGACAGTATTGCTATTAGAAGAAGCCCCTACTCCCAACAAAGATTTGGCAAATGACAATACCTTCTGGCATTTGTGTTAATATTGTTAAGTCCATTTGGTCAAGCAGTCAAATTATGTAAAGATGGTCAAAGACTCCCTAAACTAAGCCATTCTTTTTAAAGTCATAGTGAGAAGCTTC